TTTGCATTAGCACAATTAAATGTTCTGGGATTCCCATTCTTCTCAGAGTCAGCCATAGTTTGTTATGATCCACACAGTCAATTATTTGCCTTTGCTTCATCAAAGACATGTTGCACTGGGAAAAATCTAAAGAACTAAAGAGTAACAATGTCATTTTAAAGACTCAGATGCACCTGAGGCAAGCCATGGTGTTTTCAAATGCTTCCCATGTATCTTAAAATTGGACAATGAAGAAGGATGAAAAAAGAAAAACTGATGCATATGAATTATGGTGTTGGAGAAGAATACTCAATATTCCATTAACTGCCAAAGGAACAAGCAAGTCTATCTTGGAGGAAGTGCATCTGGGCTCTCCTTAAAGGCAAAGATGGTGAAACATTGTCTCACATACTTTGGCTATGTTGTTGGGACGGACCAGTCCTTGGAAAAAGGACATCATGCTGGGAAACCCGGAAGATCCGATTGAAAGAAGACCCTCAACTAGATGGATGGACACAGCGACTGTAGCAATGGACGTGAGCATATCAGAGATCATGATAATGACTCAGAATAGGGCAAAGTTCAGGTCTGTCATCCACAGGGTTGTTATGACTCATAGTCAGTCAAGGACACCTGACAACAACAACAACAAAAACAATCTAGGTGTATGGAAGCTGGATGATGAGTAGAGAAACGAAATAAGGCTTTTGTCTTGTGAAGCTGTAAAATATTAAACATACCATGAATTACTAAAAAAAACCCATACAAATCTGTCTTGGAGGAAACGCAACCAGGACACTCCTTAGAGGCACGGATAGAGAAGCTTCCTCTCACTTACTTTGGTCATGTTGTCAGGAGGCATAAGCGTCCTTGGAAAAGCTGGGGAAAGTGAAGGGTCTGAGAAAGAGAGGAAGACCTTGAACCAGGTGGACTGGCAAAGTGACGACAATCCTGGGCTTGACCATGCTGAGTTAGTGAGGGTGGAAGACAGTGAGGATGGCACAGGATAGAGCAAAGTTCCTACCTGTTTTTCATAGGGTTGTTATGAACTATAGTAAAATTGACAGCACCTAACAACAACAACAACTATCTCCAGATAGTTGACTTACTCCAGATAGGCAGGTTTACATGACCCAAACCTTCTAAAGTACATGTTCTTCCTTGGCATGAATCTACTTTGAAGACTTAGTCTGGTGTAAGCACTTGAAAAAAAAAATACTTTTAGAATCCAAGTCCAGGCTGAACTCACCAAATTACCCAAAAATCAAAACCAAAACCTCACTGCTGTCAAGTCAATTCCAGCTCATGGTGACCTTCAACCAGATTCTCCAAGTCTTTTTTTTTCCTTTTTTTTTAAATTTTATTTTAATGAAAGTTTACAGAGACTTTAGATTTCCATTCATTCATTGTTGCATGCTTTCCTCCCTGCCCACACGTCCCCTCCAGTTCACTTTTCTCTTTGAAAAGTAAAAAATTTATTTCATGGTTATATACACACACATACAT